CCTGTTCTGCTCCCCACTCTGTCTCTGGTGAAACCTCTCACTGCCCCTGAGCCTCTGGCCTGTACCCCAGTTCTGTATGTACAAATAAATAAATCTCTAAAAAAAAACAGAAAGACAGGGCCTTCCCAGGTAAGGACGCAGCATTGTAAGCTAGCTGCAAGCTGCAGCCACACAGTGCAAGTTCGATGCCTGGCCCCAGAAGAGACCCACATGCAGCAGACCTCTTCTGTCTGCTGCTCCCCTCAGCAGTGTACTTTGTTGATTTGTTCTGCTCCCTACTCTGTCTCTGGTGAAGCCTCTCACCATCCTGCACGTCTGGCTTGTACCCCATTTCTGTATGTATAAATAAATAAATCTTTAAAAAAAAAAACAACAGAAAGACAAAGATCAAGGAATGTACATGAAAATAAGGATAGAATATGCACATACAACAGTGACACCCCATCCAAAAAGAATCTTGCTACAATTTTAGGACAGCTGATCTCAGTTATCTCCTTTTATTCATTTTACTATTCTGTAGATTCCTGAATATTTAAATAAACTTCCTATTAACATATATGGTTAAAGAACTGTAAACTTTTCTAAAACACAGAATGAAATGCAAATCTCAAATGGCTTCATGGTGTTCTCGTGCCATCAGTAGAGCAAATTCAAGTAGCCACAGCACAGGAAAGACCAAGAGAGCCTCACCAATAAAAGTTACCATCTTTTCTGTCATCAACCAAATTATCCCACTTTCTAAATTCAGTAAAGAGTGTAAACTGAAATTATGAAATTGTAGTAAAAAGGCTGAAGAGACTGACATAGTAGTTGTATTATTTTCAAAAGGAACGTAATATTATTCTAGTTATTCTACTGAAAATAATCGTGGGCTTGGGCTAAGAAGGTAGTTTGAGTTTTTCTGTATCTGTCCACTGTACCTCACATAATGCCTAATAGACAACAAATACTTGATAATGTGAAGATTTACTGGATTATTCACTTAAAAATCATTCTTTCTATCAGTGGCAGAATGAAAACTGTTAGATGTACAACATACAAAGGATGAACCTGTGTTGGAAAAGACATTTTTAAAAGTAAATCTGAGGTATGTCTTTAAAAGAGTTTAAAAACTTCTTTATTCTGTAAGAAAACATTATAACAAAACAATATAAAAATAAACTCAATATGTCTCCAAACCACAGCCCCCTACCATATTTAGTCAGAGAGGATTTATATAAAGTTAGTGAATATTAACTTGTTCCAGGCTCCTGAATATGCTGGAAGTTGCTGGGACCTGTAGAGTGTCATAGGTAGGGCTGGATAGCCAGAGAGCAATGAGGGAATATTTCCATGTATTTCTGATATGCTGTCTAAAATGAAATCTCAGAAGACAGGATATGAATCTTCATTTGTTGTAACTTTCTTATTTTAAATAAGTATCAATTTTCAGGCCTAATTTTGAAAGGGCTCCACCCCCCCCCCACCTCCCTAGCCCCCCATCCCTCCAACCCCATTTTATAAACTTAGGTGTCATAGAATCTGTTTTCCATTGCTTCCATTCTAATGGATCTGCCTCTACTGGCAACAAATGGAAGACACAGGGCCTCACTGACCAATTGTGTGTGAAAAGCACTAATTCTAGTGAAAGAACGTCCCTGTCCCATCTTCTACGCATTTCCCAGTGCATTCTCCCACCTACGCACACATCCCACACTCTTGCTCATCAGTTCTGTCACAATTAACCACCTTCTTCCTTGTTTTTCCACCCACCATCCCCTACAGATTTGCTAATATCCTTTCCTATCAATCCTTTCTTTCCTGCTCTCCAAGGAAAACACTAACATTTCTGACAGCATTTCCATGGGGATGAAGAGGAGGAGGAGTTGCAGGAAGAGAACAGGACTGGAAAAGCAGAAGCCACTGAGCCATAGCTATAGCAGATGTTCTCATAGTGGCTGGGGGTTGTGACAGTGACAGGGGAGATGGAGAAAGTTTGGAATAGGAAGAAATTATTTCAAAAACTTGTTGCCTGTAGAGTTTCATAAGTTATGGTACACATTCAATGTTTTGCCATAAAGGTAAACACAAACAGAAATCTTATCAACCTAAAATGCTCTATGATATGATGGCAAAATAATGTACCAGAATTCAAAACCACTCACTATAGTTATGACTACACAGAGCTTATGAGGACATATGGATATGATATATAAAAGAGAGAATGGTCATGAGGAATAATGTGATGACAAATGATTTTTTTTTTAATATTTAGCAAACACTGTGACACTTTTGTTATTTAGGTTTGCAGCACTGTATAGGATTCAGAGGAACAAGTTCACACCTCTGCAGATGTACATCACCATAACACACTCACCCCACATCATCCATATTCCATGTTGTATACCACTGGACCACTCCCCACTTGGTTCCCACTCACCCCCTTCTAATGGCCTCAATGCTGCAGTCATTCCTAAACTTTGCGATGGTTTAGTTCTGTAAGCTCCTTTGTTTAATTTTCTATATTCCACATATGAATATATATTCTAGATGAGTCATCTAGAATTTGTCGTCCCATCAGCTTATTTCACTTAGCATCATCCCTTCCAGTTCCATCTGGAAGTGGCAAGATTGCATCTTTTTTAATACTTGGATAGAGCATACCATCATGTATATGTACGACATCATCTTAATAGATGATAGAACATTTTCCTAAATTTTTTCTAATGTTCTGTTGTGTTTTCATTTAAAAAAAAAAAAAAAGAAGAAGAAGAAAAGAAAAAACAACTTTCCACAGTAGGGATGGTTATTCACATGTAAGCTGATCTCAGTCCTTTATCTAGTAAAGTTGGCACTGTCTGATGCCATACAATTGCAAAAAGGGGACTGAGGCAAAAAATGAACTAGAGTGTGTCCTTGAAGAAAGCAATGTATTAAAGATATAATGGGGATGAAAAGCTCAGTGAAAAGGTGAAGGCAATTTTGAGAGGAAAAAACAACATTTTCCAAGTCAAATGAGTGGAATGAAATCACTTAGAAAATTTCTTAGATCCTCTCTGAATCAACAAAAAGAAGTGGTGGAATGGATCTATAACCAAGTCAGAAATCTGGAAATAAAAATAATACTACTGAATACCAATCCCTTGACCTTGATGTCTTGAATATCACTTCCCAAATCTTTAGCTAAATGACACTAAGTATAAGAAATAAATTACCATAGAAACATGTCCAAAATGGGCAATTTATACATGGTAATATTGTCATTCAAACACAAAACAGGAATATCATTTAACAACAACAAAAAATAATAGTTACAGATAAAAACACAATGCAGAATAAAACCAAATATTAAAAGGAATTATAGATCTAAGGATTGATGAAAATACAATTACTTTAACTACCATCATATACAAATGTACATATAATCAAAAGGAATGGGAGAGCTGCAGCAATGATTCCTTAGATGGAAAAGGACTATACTTTAAGTAATTCAAATTTTACTAATTATAATTTCTGAAATTGTGGAATATGAAATGATAGAACAATATTAACTTGACAGATTCTGCATGGATACTCTATAATGGTGAAGTTTAAATTCTCTAAGCTTTCAATACATAAAGCATTTTAGTCAAGAATGAGTTATTCCTTTTCTCTTCTAAAGATGCAACAGCAAAGAGTAGTCTAGGACATTTAGCTATCTTGTCCTGACAAATAACCAATTCACCTTTTTTCCCAGTGTATTCTTAAGTATTGATTTTACCAAGTGAACTCAGACATGTGTCACACTTATCCAATACAGATTCTTTTCCTTGGAAATGTAGTTTGAACATCAATCAGTCACCTGGTCTTTCACCTCTAATTCCTATTGCCACTGTCTGTCAATTATTAAAGCTTGCCCATTTTTCCAAATAAGTTATTTTTTAAAAGCTGGTTTTTAATATATACATATAAAGCTTGCAAGAATTCATGTGATTAAATTTATTCATTGAAATTATTTTTGAGTTGAAAACTAGTATAAAACCTACAAATCCATATTTTAAAAGCCTCGAAGTCTTTTCTTTGAAAACATGTTCCTTAAATGGTAATATTAGCACTTGTAAGCCAGACTCCAGTTTGAGGACAACAACATAAAAAGAAATTCAAGCTGAGTGGCATTGTTCCCAGGGTCTTCAAATAGAGCACAGTGTTTTCATCTCTGGCTGAACCCAAAGAAAGTCACAGAATGACACCCACCTTGAGCTGCAAGCCTCCTGGGATAAGAGTGTTTGCTGGAAGGCTCTTAAAGTGTTGGTAGGCATAAGAGGAGAATTGCTCTTGCTCAGCCTGTAATTGGGGGCCAAGTTTAGAGAGATGACCTCTGTTGCTTTTGATAGCTGTCTGCAATTCATCAATCAGCCTGCTCACCTGAAGGGGTTAAATTACAAGAGTTGTTAGCAAGAAGTAATTGTTGATGTCACACCTATTAGTTTTTGAGTACCTAGTTTGATGGAACGAAATTGGCTTCAATACAAGAATTTGAGTATAAATCTTCAAGTAAAGAGAACAGAAGAGATATACATTCCTTTATCAACAAATTTTATTTATGGAAATATAACTGTACTTCAAGCAATATGGATGAAAAGTATCTCTGGATATGGAATATATAAAACACAATGCTACTTGCAGAAATTAATCAAATAGTAAGAAAGAGGAATTACACAGCTATACTGATGAAAATACAATTATTTTAACTGCTATCACAAACAAATGTATATATAATCAAAAGGATGTTTGCTATCACAAACAAATGCATATATAATCAAAAGGAGAGTTGTAGATTGCAAAGGACTTTTAACCTGCTTAACAGAATAAAACTTTCCTATGATTTAAAGCAATTCAACAAGTATACTGTCTACAATTTAATTTTGTGCACCTTTTCAGAATATTTTGTTTTGCTATCTGTGTGTTATGTTGAAATTTTTAATATGTATTAACTTTTAAATTTTGTTGATTTTCTAAATAAATTAATCTACTTTCTTATTTCCAAATACACAAAAAATATAAGTTTCCAAACTCCATAAATACAATTTTACAAAATAACATACTTCAAAGATAATACTATATTCGAACAATATTTTGAAGATATATTGGCCCCTGAATAAAGCACAGAATTTTTCCAGAAATCTCAATCACTCAGAAATATGTACCCTTTATTTTTACATTTTTGCAATTATTAAATAGCACTATTTAAGCCATACAAATACAACTAACTTACGTATAATTAAAAAGAATTGCTGAGAACCATAAATAGTAACTTGATGTTTTAATCCCTATAGATTATAAATTAAAAATAATTGCCATTCCTTGACTCTTCATTGTTTGTAAACTTATCTTTTCTCCAATAGATTCTAACATAAACACTGATTTATGAATGGCTGTGAAAAAAGAGATGAAAAGCAGAAATTCATTCTATTCATGGCTCTTTCTAATGATCAAATTATACCTATTATAATTATGAATGAATCTGAATAGAGCATGGACTTTTTTAAATCTTGGGTTAAATGATTCACCAATATTTACTACCAAAGACACTGAACATGTAAGAAAACCCTCATCCATTTTCATCCATCCACTTCAACCTCACCCCCCACCTCCAAAAACTAAAACCTCATCCATTAATGAATAATGGTCATTGGTTATATCATATTAAAAATTAAATGAGATTTAAGAATAAACAGCACAATAACCAATAGTAGATGCTTTATGCACTTCTACTTCACATGAAACAGATAAAAAATTGAAACTCTTTGCTACAAAGATACTCCATCTCACATCTATGTCAGATAAAATAGGAGTTTTTCTCCAAGAGTCTCTCAGGTACTGACACCTCATCCTCTTACTCTCACAACTAAAAATATCTGCCCCGTCCTGTACTCTGACATTATATCTATGACTTTTATTCTCCTACAGAGAGCTTTTGGTAACTAATGAAAGTGACTTTGTATTATTATCCCTATTATTTGATTATTATTTTTCTACTTAATTTATGTACACACATATAATCTTGAACTAATCTACTTATATATGTCTTCAATTACATTTCATTTTCCCAAGAACTTTAGAAGCAGTATGTATGTAAAAAACTGATTTTATTTAAATTTAAATTATTTCATTTAAATTATTCCTATTTTCTTTGTTCTTCTATATCTCTCTTAGTTGCCCCTCTATGATCAACCATCACCCTCTATTCAATCCTTTTTGCTAAGTAAGGAGTTGGCAAATGTTTTATTTATAAAGCCAGATAATAAACAGTCTCAGTTTTGTGGACCATAGGTCCTCCAACAGAATTATCTAACCACGCCTGCCCCTGCTGTACTCTCTAAACATTATAAACATTAGGTAAACAAATGTACATAACTAAATTCCAATAAAAGTTACTTATAAAAACAAGCAGTTGTCTGAATTTGACCATCCTGTGTTTGCAATCCTTCTTCTAAATACATGCATTTTTTTCTCCTTTTCCTTTCTTGTAAGAAATACCCTAGACCAAATCTCCCTTTTCCCACCCCAGAACTTGGATTACCAAAATACCTGCTGAGTGGTCTCCCCAGCCCTGATCTCTTTTCTTCTAACTCTTCCTGCTACCAAATTAATTTAGTATGAGTCACATATTAAATTATTAAACATATTAAACCTGAACCCCTAGATTCTACATTTTGATATTCAAGATTCAAGACCTTTGTTTATATTCTAGAGTAAATTTGTATGCTTTCCATAGTACTATAAACCCTATCATAAAATTATAACATTTAAATATGGAAAGGATGATGATCAATATTAGCCAATGTTTTCATCCTCACCATTGTCCTCAAAAATGATGGCCATTAGTATCTATTATACCAAAGCTACAGACCAAAACCTGCCAGATAACTTGCTCTTATTATTATCTGACAAAATTAAAATCCAAGAACCACAACTTTAAGTAAAACACACTACATTTCTGTAAAACACTGATCCCCTCTTAACCTATCTACAGCATCAATGATTCAAGAAAATATAATTTTATATAGCCTTTAAATTATATTTTGTATCTTGCAATCTATGTGGCTAGTCAGTAAGAATGCTTTAATTTTATAGTACCACACTTCAGGCTTTGTATAGCAAATCACATACATGCATACATACACACATAAGAGGGGAATTTCAGACTTAGATTTGAGAGCATTTTTACATATGACTGGCTTTACTGTCACACTCTATAGCCTTTCACAGATAGGATATTACATGTGACATCAGAAATCAACCAACCATACAATTGATGATGTCATTTGCATTCTAAAGGACTATTGGTTAAAACCTTAAAGTTTCATTTCCTATGATTTCTTTATAACTTCAAAAAAATTGCTATTTTCCTTGGCTTCATGATTATCTGCTAATGTATATGAAGTGTGATTACACCAGTTTTCACCTGCTTTTTTTAATAACTTAAAAATTTCAAAGAGTTCTGGAAAACATTAACTTACTATCTTAAACATAGAAGAAAATATATGAAGAATCCTGCTACTGACATTCTGGTAGGCTTTAAGTCCTGTATTACTTAAACTTCTTGTTACTTTCTATATTCATATGATCTTTTATCCTCAAAGTGCTACATTTAATTCTCATTTATAATAATAACATGTTAGCTTAAAGATAACCCTATGTAAATACCCTTAAAGATCATTCATACAATGTATCAGGTAGGTAATTCAGTACCCCTGAATTATTTTACATAATATGATTATTTTTTGTATCACAGATGTTGCTAAAAGGAGAAAAATGTTCTTTAAAATTCTTCATCATGCATCTTTTTTTTTCCTGCAAATCCCTTTTTCCCGTCTCTCTACAAAGGCAATGTGAATAGGGGTAAAAGAAGACAAAACTTGACCTTCTGTGATCCCAGCATTAATGGGTCTGTTCATAATTCAATCTATGTGTGTGTGGGAGCATCCATGTGGAAACATAGAGGCCTGAGAGACATAAAGCCTTTCCCTTTAAACATTATCTGACCCTATCAGTCCCATTCACAAAAGAAGGCTTACGTATGCATATATTGAAAAAAATGCACCATCTCATTGTGCAGCAGAAAGCCTACACATTCTACTCTTCATTCTCTGTGGAAATGTAGCACGGAAGTGACACTTGTACAGAATTTGGGAGAGTGACAAATGAGCAGAAGGTAGCAAAAAAGAATTGAGTATTCTGATGAGAAAACAAATCAAATTTCTGAAAGAAGGCAAATGCACCACTCTATGAGCACAAAGCAAATTTTGGCATAACAGGTAGGGCAGTTTGCTCATGTTTTTATGATGCATTCATGCAACACTTGAATTTAACTAAATCCCCAAAGTGAGTTACAGTCAGCACAAAATATTTTTGTTTGCACATTCTAAACATATACACAGTAACAATGGACATTCTGAACCATACTGTCTGAACATTGTACTTTGGCTATATCAAGTGAATATTTAAGGCCCTCCATAGACTTCTAATGATGAGCTCAATTGTTGGCCTGAATTCTATGTAGCCTTCAGTCTACTAATGTTTGTAAGAACTCAACAGTACTTAGCACTGAATTGTGCTTGTAATCAGCACAAAGGGTGGTGGTTCTACCGAGCAAAGTTACTTTTTTTCTTTTTTATAGCCATTGATTTATTAACTTTCAGTTTATGATACTTTCCCCCAAAACAATCTTTTTAACCAAGTCAGTAAAATAGTTACAATTTCCTTTCTACCCTATGTGATAACTTGCAAACAGCAACTACTAACAATGAAGTCTCAACTCCTTATTTTATTTCACCAGGTCCTTCCTTATCAAATGTCCAAAGTAAGAGTGTGGCCACATGTTTACACACCCTCTTGTGGTGTCTGCTTGGGGCGGTGACATCAGAAAGAGAACACTTGATATGTTCTCCCTAGGAATATCATGTTGGCATGCTAGGTCAGTGTTTAAATTTAAAACTAAGAAATCTTCTAGCTAGCAATATTATTAAGGAGAACCAGAAAGAGAGCAGAGAGATGAAATTAGGTATCGTAAACTAACAATTTCTTCTTTTTCTTAGGCTTTTCAGATGAAGCAATGAAATCAGTGCTTTTTGACTGAAGAATTACAATTAACCCAGACTGATGAATAAAGACTAGAAAAGATATGGGTGCCAGTAAGCAAAGTTAAGTATCTCTTGATTTTAAAGGAGCTGCAATGTACCAAGAAACCTGATATGCATAGCACTTTTTATTCTTGCCAACTCAAATAGTCCCAACTTTTTAACAATTTTCTAGAACTCCTCTAAGGTAACAAATATTTTGGGAGGAAAAACATGGTGTTTGCACCCAGAAGTACTTAAAGTGTTGCCTCTAACCTATTCAAGAGTCTGATATCTTTATCCACTTATGGGAGAAGAGGCATTTGAAAATAGGGACATTTAAAAGGAATTGATAAATCACTTGGGAAAAGGCTAGCAATAAGAATGATGTCAAGTATATCTTTTGAGGCAGTGATAAGACTGTGTCTCACAGACTTCTAACTTATAGGAATACAATTGATCAAGACTCCCAGTTACTGTGCTCTGAAATTTATCACCAGATGGGCAGCAAAGACTGAATATGCTAATGCAAGTCCATTCCAGAGTCACAGGGTTCCTAGCTGATGGCATCTTTGGTTCAATGATACCAACAGCTTTGCTGAACCTTCCTCAAACCAAACCACACAACAGTCTAAGAGGCTTCCACCTAATTTTCCTTTCCTCTAACCTCCACTCATGTTTCGGTCTGACATACAATTGATGATGTCATTTGCATTCTCCCAGCTTTAAGGTTCTCCCCATTTTCTCTCATAAGAATTCTAATAAAATCCCTCACATTTAATCCTATTGTGGTATCTACTTTTCCAAGAACCTAAAGTAACATAATTTTCAGCCAATAAATTACATACACATCTCCAGTAGACAACATCAAAAAGTCTGTAGTACTTGAATCATCACCTCAAAGTAATTTTATGATACAGATATTATTATTTCTATTTTCATGTCAAAATTTACAACAAATGAAATATGATTTTTAGAAAAATTAGGTGCTGCAGAAGTCTAAATCTCAGATCTTTATATTTGTTTTGGGGATTGAAATACATCTAGAAATATACCTTTGTAAAAAAAAAAAAAGGAAAAGAAAACTGAAGTAGTCTCCCTTCACCAGATTTTTAGTTTACCTTCACAACAAAGATTTTACATCTCTGTATATGAATTAGAGTCAAAGTTCGATGACACAGGTTTTTCCTAACCAATATAATCACTTTCAAAGTAATGCCATATGAATTATTCTCATAATATGGAATATATTGAGATCGCACACACTCACATATACACACAGATAAATAATCCCTTTATAGTGTATTTAATTTTTAAAGTAAACAACGCCTTTAGAACCATAGACAGTTAGGAAAATGTGTGACCAAATAGGACACTGTGCAGGCAGAACGCTGGAGTATATAGACTAAATGAACAAAGATGATAATGAAGAAATACTAAAGTAAGAATAAATACTGTTGGATATCCAGAAAAGTTTCATTTCTAGTATTGCTAGCAAGGTATATTTAATACAAAGACATTTATTTATTCCAGTTTTCAGTTCGGTTGAACTTGTAATTTTGCATAAAATATCAAACAACATTATTGTAACTTAAGAGGCAGAAAGTACTTAATCTGTTGATTTTTCTAGGTAAGTTTATTTAATCACTAACAATAATTTTTGCTCTTATAGATAACTAGCTAATTAAACTAGAGGTATTTATTTGCATTTCTTAAAAGTTTTCCTTATCAATGTGATAGATTTTAAAACTACCTGTGATTAAAAACATTTTCACTAAATGGAGGACAATATTATACAAATTTATAAATAACAGCCTAACATAACTTTTTAATGAGTCTGAACTACAACTTAAATCTACACAACTATCCTTTAGTACATTTACATGTCATTTGTTACATGTTGAATTTTTCTCATGAAATGTTCTCTACTGAAGTTGCTAGTCGATATTTACAAGACAGTCTCTAATATTAGAAAGATAATCCTAATGTGAATCCTGGTTCACTCAGAAAAATCTGATGCATTGTGCCTGTTCATCTATTATAAAATGCAGAGTAAGGGATATGCAATCACTATAAGAACTTATTAAAATGACAATGCTTGGATAGATTACTTTGCCAAAATGTCAAAGAGAATTATATGAAAAGTTTAATTTTTAAACATTCACACTATCTTATTCTTAAAGTTATGTATAGATTTTATTTACTGACATTGTAGTGCAAAATTAGCAAATTCATGATCTTTCCTCAGAAAGATTAAATGCTTTCACATTCCAGGAAGCTACATGAAAATCATTTTCTCTTTCTGTCTAACACCAATTTTGTATTATTATTTCATTTATGGAATATGCTGTCAACTTCACAGCATGAGCTTTGGCGAGAAAAGGGCTTGCTTTAATAGTTCTTCATTACAATATTGCCTACAGAATCTTATCATTAGCTCACTAAAGATTCATTGTAAACTACAGACTTCCCCTGATAAGAGATAAAACTGTTAGTGTTTCTTAAATACAGAACAATGATTCTATTCCTAGAAAGTAAAAAATAAGAATAAAATTTAGTATTTACTCAACAGTATTTTGTTTTTCCTGTTAGCCTATTTTATAATTTCCAGATTCAAGTCACATGTAATAATTTTTTTAACTTAGGCAATTTAAGATAATTTAGTTGCAGACAATATATGATTTGTGTTTTTCAAGCTGCCTACATCAATAAAATGATTTCTAGTTTTGACCAAATTTATTCCTTCACTTTATCAAATACCAATCACTGGTTCACTACCAAACCCAAGCAAAATTTGTTTTTAATTTTAAAATTAGTGCTCATTGTTGTTTTACACTATAGTTTAAAAAATAAATTCCTGGGGCCCTCCCTGGTGGCACAGTAGGTTAAAGCACACTAAGAAACTAAATTCTATCCCCGCCCTGGGAGGTGACCATGTGGCGTGGCAGACCTCTCCTGACCCACCCTCTGCTCCCCTCAATAGTGTGCTTCATTGATTTGCCTGTTCTGCTCCCCACTTTGTCTCTGGTGAAACCTCTCACCGCCCCTGCACCTCTGGCCTGTACCCCAGTTCTGTATGCATAAATAAATAAATCTTAAAAATAAATAAATAAATAAATAAATAAATAAATAAATGCCTTACTTCTTCTTGTGCCTTATGGTGTTCCTTTGATGTCATTGAAAGAATGACTTTCTCAGAAACTTTCTCTTTCTTTTCATCCATGGCTAGATTCAACTGGAAAATAAATATATAAATGAAAATAGGCACCTACAGACAATAGCAACATTGACTCAAACAACTAATTTAACATAATTGTAGATTTCATATTAATTTGACTTATGTGAAAATGAACTATATCTAAAACATTTAAACCTGAAATTTTCACTTCTATTATTTGTAAGTTTATTAAAAATATGATGGACTATCTTAAAAATAACTACTTGGAAGGTGGTCCTTAATAGCAGAAATTTGACACTGATGAGTATTTTATGAGAATATTTTATCAGAATGAGCACTGCAACTATTTTCTGTTTGTTTTTGATTGGATGCTATTTACTATTAAAATTTTTCATTGTCACTAGAAAACACTGGTTGCTGTTATGTCAGAATAAGAATTCAAAGACGTAAACCAAAAGCAAATGTCAACTGAAATACTCTAAATGGTGGAAAGAAACTTGTAACATTTCACGACAAAATAAGGCATCTTAAATATCTGAACAAAAAACATTAAGTTAAAATAAGAAATATATGATCAGTTGCCTAAGATCTGCTCTTTTTACAAAACCAGATTACTGTCTTTTACTACAGCTTAACAGGAGTATCTAACCTATATGTTACAAAAAAGTAACTGTGGCCTCATCTATATTTCTTTAAAAAAAATCATCACTGACATAAAATGTTTTAAATAGACTTTCTCAATTGTCTGTGTGACAAATCATGTTTGAGTTGACATAAATCTTTAATTCTGTCTGAAGACCTATTCTAAGGATAATGGCAGTGAGAACAACAATATGGCCACTCCTATCTAGGTATGCACATATGCACGTGATCACTTCATCCACTTACATGTGATCACTTCATCCACTTACATGTGGTATAGCACAGTGAATCAGAGATTCTGTTTTGGCACAGAAGAAAGACACAAAAATCATCAGATGATTCTGATGATCAACCTAAATAAAGAGTTGACAAACATTTCTATAAAGGGCCAGGTGGTAAATATATTTTTTGATAGTAATATCTATTTAATTTTATTTTTTCAATTGGGTTTATTGAGGTGACATTAATTTACAACACCATACATGTTTTAGGTATATAAGTTCACATTTCTACAAATGAATGTTATCATACCATACCCACCACCAAAGAATAAATAATTCTCTGCCAGAGTCCATGAATCAACATCATCTCCCTTTGCTCACACCTCCCACCCCGCCCTACCTCCACCACCAATCTTTCTCAATTCTATAATCAGATTTCAAGGGCATATTCTGATTTGATTTTGCCTGTTCCTTTCCTTTGGTTTTAAATTTCACATATGAGTGCAACCATCTGGTATTTATCATTCTCTTCCCGACTCATTTGCTTAGAATGATTTCTTCCAATCTCATCCATCTTGTCACAAATGAAAAGATTTCACTTTTTTTTATATTGAGTAGTATCCCTGTGTGTGTGTTTTTTATATGTGTGTGTGTGTGTATATATATATATATATATATATATATATATATATATATATATATATATAAGACAGCTTAATCCACTCATATGTTGTTGGGTGCTTAGGTTGTTTCCATAACCTGACTGTTATAAATACTACTACAATTTACATAGAATACATATATCCCTTCAAATTATTGTTTTGTACTCAGGTAGATGCCTAGAAAAAGTATTGCTAGGTCATATGGTAGGTCTACTTTTTTGTTCTGAGAAATCTCCAACTGTTTTCCAGACTGGATTAAGACTGTTCCCACCAATAGTTATACTTGGAAGATGGGGAATATAAAATTTCTGTTGCAATAACTCAACTCTGCCCTTTTGCGTGAAATAAACAATACATGAGTGAATGGGTGTTGTTATAGTTCAATAAAACTTAAAAAAAAAATAAGTGGCAAACTTGATGGGCTGCAGACAGGGGTTTTCCAATCCCTGTTCTAGACTGAGAACCACTAAGAAACATGTATTTGTAATGATATAAAATTATCAAATGAGACTGTTCTTAGGGTCACTCTCCCAAGGAATTTTTGTTTGTTTGATGAAGTCTTACAAAACACATAATATAACAAGTGAAATATCACATTCAACTTTCACATGTAGAAGCCTGCATGATAACTGAGGTACAACATATTTATCTCTAGGCTTTATGATTATTCTTTATTAGAGCATCTGAAGAGATGGCTGTGGAGGAGAACAACTGGGAAATATTTTCCATGTTCATCTGTTCATTGCCAAATTAATTTCCAAATGCAAAAACAGTAGGAACAGATCTTTTTTTGAAAAGAAACAAAACAAAACAAAAACAAAGCTACAAAAACTCTTTGGTGCCACAGCAGTAAATCAAATTCTAATGAGATCTCCCAGGGCCGTGACATTTTAAAATGCTTGCAACTAACTCTTTTAAAGGTGGGAATTCTTTACCTTTGAAAGCACCACAGTTGGAAAAATCACCTCCATTCTAATACTCAACTTCTAAAGAAGCACTATACTTATCTGTATAAGCTGAAGACAAACATGTCAACACTACTGAAATTGGGAATCAGGAAGAATGTGGAAAATAAATGGTCAACAAAGTAAAAGGATACATGGGGTCTTTTTCTGGAAACATTCCAAAAGAGAGCTATTTTAATATAGTCATTTAGAGAAAATTATTGAAAGTAAAAATTCAGTGAAGAGAGGGCATTTTCACCCCAAGGTATTAATAAGAAGCTATGCTAATAGCAACTCTCCCTGAAGTTCCACAATGTAGTATCAATAGGAGGATTTTTCTCTCCTGTCACTTATGAGGAGGATATTGTTTCTTCATTAAGAAAACTAGCAGCCTTTGAGTTGCTGTTTTTATCCAAACTTATGGCATCTTTTGTCAATGGTTTTACTTTTTGGAGACTAATTGTTCATGTATAAGAAGAGTAGAAGCTTCAAATTAAAATTAAAAAAAAGAGAAAGATGGTTGAAATTTTATATAATTGTAAAAGCCAAATTGCCACCAAAAGGACAAGCAGGAAGTAGTTACTTTTTCTAAATATCTTGCCCTTTTTAAATGTGAGAAAATACTCCCAACCTTTGTGATATACATCAGGTTCTAACAAGTTAAGTAGGAACATTTAATTCACATTTTTGTCAGGCTTGGTTGCTAAGGTTTTTTAAAACATGTAATTAACAAACATTAGCTAGCCAAAATTAGGCTAAAATTTGTTTAAAAAAAAACAAACTTAGGTTAAAGTTGTGTTCATTCACTAATAATGGCACCAGAATAGAACACTCAAGAGACCCAGTGAAGGACAGTAGCAGAAATGGAAGAAACATAATGGTTCTAACAAAGAACACTGAACAGGGATGCTTCAAGAAAATGGTTTAGTTAAAGATTCAAAAATAGAAAGTTCACTTTGAGCAATGTGTTTAGGAATTAAGGGGAAAATACACAAAAGTATACCTGAAGGAACAGGTTTCAGTGGGAAATGATTTCTAGTGGTTACTATTTTTCAGACTCTATTTTTACATTAAACTATCCATGCTAAAGTGGCAGACATAATACTTTCTCTTAAGCCCCAGTGGGTCACAGCTTAGAAATATATGACTTTATATAAAGCATGTGTCTGCAATGAATATAACAGAAAATGCCCCTAAGTTTGAGGAGGCTCAGGCAGCTCTCCTATGGCCATACTAGAGAGAAGAACACCCTCAGATTTTCCTGTTAGAGAAATGTCAGAACAGCAGAGAATTAGTTCCATATATGTCATTAATACTATATGGCAGGGTTTTTCTAACATTTTTACTCTCCTCCAAATATTTTAAAGTGTATTTATAAAAATCATAAAAACCAATTGTGTAAAATTTTTGACATGATTGTTAGATAATATACCTATTTTATAGTAGAAAATAACCGGTACAGGTAGTCAATTAGGCATCTCTTTTGACAAGCAAGTTGGTGAATTAGGTCTACCTAACTCTTATTGACAATCCAGATAAGTAAGGTCAAAGATGGAAGAGCTATTAGTCTAACCAAACTAATGCTCTTACTCATGGTTATGGCATGCCATGGGTTGAATGTGAAATATATGTTATATATGATGTCCTAAGTAGATTTTAAGGAATGGAAAATGGAATCTTTACCTTAAAAAAAAATCTAACTTTTTGATCAATAAATATTGATCTATTAATATATTATTTGATCCATATTTTACATGCAGATCAATATAGGTAATACAGTTTAGCATAAAAACAGGACAATCAGCCTTCATATATATATTGACAAGTTTCCCAATGGCCTGTTAATATACAAAAGACTGGGACAAATTACTTATTTATATATACAAAACATGGTTATAAAGGCCAGCTGCAGGTATTTTTTGGAAAGTGCATTTTAATAAGGTTCTATTCAGTTAAGGAACAAATGGGGAAGAAGTAGTTTGCACTACAGAGTTTAGCGCAAGAGCTTTCTCTTTTTCTAACCACGAAATCAATCATTTGTCCAGACTGTGGGAGTCAGAGTTAGTTACTGAAAAGAGCTCCGTATATAAACAAGTCAATAACTCATTGTGTGTTATTGTGGAGCTGAAGAAGTCGGCTTTCAAAAAAGCTGCCCCTGCTTCTCTCAGAATGAATGTCACTGTATTCAGGGACTGGGAGAGGGTCTTTTGTTTTCAGCCATTGCTGGCTGCCATTTATGTATGGGAACAGGAGGTGGCTGCTAGGAGAGTGGGGGAAGCTACTATCTGGGATCATGTATGTCAAAAAAAAAAAAAAAAACCAACCCTGAATTTTTCAACCTAAATAATTTGTGTCTAGAAATCCATGAATGGAATCAATAAAGAGTAGCTACTGATAAAAACAATGCACTGTATTGGTTCTGGTGATACAAACCTGTACCTTCAGGGAACTAACTTTCCATTGAGAACTGCAATTCAGCCACCAATAGGTCCCATGGTTTTCCTTGTGTTTGTCACTGAGGTAAGGCCCATATCTTAGAATTCTTTTATTGCCCCAATAAATCCAACCATAATAGTCAAGGAGCAACT